AATTTATTCAATAGATTTTTTGTAATTTGGTCATTTTAGTTGGTATAAATTCTAAAAAAATTTGACAGAGTTTCCCCATACATATGATCAAAACCAATTTTTTTTACCTGCATTTGCAATGAAAAACACATATTTTACAAGTCTAGTATGCTAAAAACAATTATACATTTTCAACCACAACTACAACCACAAAGTATATATGGCAATCACACGCCATTGTTTTAAATACCCACGATATTTAGTTAATAATAATTAACCTCCAAAGCAGTCCAAAACTTCACCTTTTGAAGTATGATCACTAGAGGTCAAGCAAAATAAAAAAATATATCGTAATAAAAGCTAAAGCTAACAGTTTAAAGTACTAATAGAAATAAAGCCAACCATGCAAAGTATGCAGATAATGTGCGTAGCAGAAAAATAAAAAAACTAAGGACCTTGATAGTCTGGATCAAAAGTAGGATGGTATGCATCATCATCTTGAGGCGGAAACTACCGCTGCTGCTGATATTCAGGGACCATAGGAGAGGTTTGTGTAGAATCAGTGGAGTAGGTGAAAGCTGAATTCATGCGAAGACCTGAGCCAGGACCATGTGACGGCTGTGGTGAGGCAATGGATGATGACCTGCCTGAGAGGAGATGCCATGAGCGGCTAGAGCTGCTGCAACAGACGGTGCGATTGTCTGGCTCATATTATTCTGAGCTTCTGTCATATTGGCCAGCTGCTGTTGCATCAAAGCAATTTGTTGGCGTTGTCTTTCTAACTCCTCATGATCTTTTGCCTGTGTCTCCTCATAGTCAGACGCCATCAGTGCTGCTATTAAGTTTTCTCGGGGTTGTCTCGGGGTTGTCTCTTCCTGTAAGTAAAACCAACAATCTCTGGATTTACTTGGGAGCCAATCCCTGGCATGAAATTAGATGAGCAACCTTCAACAGCCTTAACCCATGCTTCGTTATCCATGCGTGGCCACGAACTAGCATCAGAGCCATGACTATCTGTGCACTCCGCAACATAAGTATCCTGAAAAAATAATAGTAATAGTAATAATGTTGACAAAAGTAGTTTGAAAAGAATCTATAAAAAAAAGTAGACTTTGCTAAATAATTTAGATTAATTACATAAATTTTTCACACTTATAACTATACATTTTATGCTAATTTATATGTTATATATACTTACATATCGATACTTTGCTTTTTCATTGATCCACGATGGCTCTTGATCTTTTCCT